TGCTTGGTGATGAAAATGTTAGAGGACTCCAGTTCTAATGTTCCTAAATGCACTCGTGAGCCAAGTACTGTATTAGGAGTATGTCGTCCTGGGTGTGGGGGTGTGTAGTATCTTCCTTTCCCCTGATGGACCTGGTTTTGAGCACTGGAAGGTGGGGGTGGGGAGGAGCGTGTATGGACTGGAGACGGTGACCCTCCTTGCTGCCTGAGCTGCCTGGATCCCACTGCAGGAGTCGGGGTCTGGAGTGGAGGGCACCCCAACATGGGCAGTGAGGTTCATGTCAGCCCGCTGCCTAGGCTGGCAAAGCCCGTGGACCACCCCCCCCTCCGGGTCAGGGCACGGGGTACAAGGAGCGCAGAAACAAGGGTCCTGACCTTGAGGACTTGGACTCTCAGCAGGAGGAGGACCGCTACAGGCTGATGCTCAGTCGCAGTGACAGCGAGAACATAGCCAGTAACTACTTCCGGCCCAAGCGGGCCAGCCAGATCCTCAGCACGGACCCCATGAAGAGCCTGGGTGAGCGTCCCGCCCGCCTCCTGCCCTCCAGCCCCTCCCTGAGTGCTCTGGAGTCACACAGGCCGGGCCAGGAACGCCTCCCTCTCTGAGCCTGTTTCCTCCGCCGTCAGCTGAGGGAGCTGCCTCCTCCGTGATGGGTGGGACGAGGCGGGGGGTGCTTGGTACACAGCCCCCGGCCTCCTGCCCCCTCCGTCTCCTGGGGGCGAGGGGCCGAGTTGCATCCTCTGTCTTCCTGACACGCAGCAGCCCCTCAGCACGCCCCAGCCCGGGGCTGCCCAGGACTCGGTCAGGTCCTCACCAGCTTCCTCAGATGGTGACTCGTTCCCAAAGCAGGGCAATCAGGGCCACAAAAACAAAGCACGCTTCTACAAGCAAGAGTCCAAAGGCGCTTTGCTCTTAAAACTAAAACCAAAGGCACTGAGCTTCCAATCCAATACCAATTAAAAAGCAAATCTCAGATCTGTCCTGAGGTTAGTCGAGACAGAGTGGGTGGAGCTGAGGAATAAGGAGAGGAAAGCGGGACGGTGAAGACACATCAGATGAGTGCCTGGCATCGTGCCCATGTTGCAGATGAGGAAACCGAGGCTCAGGAGAAGCAGCTCCCTAAGGTTACCCTCCCACGAAGTGACGGAGCAGGGATTTGCAGCAGGCTTGTCTGGCTTGACACCCAGGCTGCACAGTCTGAGGCTTGAAAATCCACGCTCCCAGCCCAGACTCTCTGGGCAGAGATGGGCGTGCTGGGCCCAAGGCCACAGCCAGAGCAGGTTCTCAGAGCTTGGGGTCCCAGGGCCTCTGGCTGGGGTGATACCCCGCACAGTCTTTCCTCTCCACCCCCGCATCCTGGCTAACCAGTGCGTCTCCCTTCTGTGCTTTTCCTCAGCACATCACAGCTCACCACCAGGCCTCAGCTCCCCGCTCGGCGGCGGCTCCACTATCCCGCCCGCCCAGGCCCCCGAAATGCCCCAGCCTCGGCCCTTCCGCCTTGAGTCCCTCGACATCCCCTTCACCAAGGCCAAGCGTAAGAAAAGCAAAAGCAGCTTTGGCGGTGAGCCCCTGTGAACACACTGGCTGCTGCCGCCCTGCCTTTGGGCTCCCGTGAGACCACCAGGCCCCCCCAGGGCAGCTCCAGCCAGGCCTCCTCCCGCCTGCCCCTGACAGTGACCGGGGCACCCAAGGGGGCCTGTCCCTGGGAAGGCACACTCCCCTCCCTGCTACCCAGAGAGCCCACTCTGCCCAGGCTGTGAGCCCCTCGGAGCCTGGACCCACGCCACATCAGTGTTCCCATCAGCCCGCCACTGTGCCCACCAGTGCGGTTCCGTGCCTCTATGGGATCAGAGACCTCAGCTCTGCTTCCAGGCCTTCATCAGCATCCCAGCAGTGTCGGCGACTTCCACGTGGATCAAACTCAACCTCTTGGCAATTGAACACTATTCCTCTGTCCAGTAGGCCCCACTTGGTGGGGAAGCCCTGGGGGGTGGGCCCAGGAGTCCTGGAGAGCTGTTCCCGGGCTGCCCACTCTCAGCTGGTTTGCAGCCCAGTGGAGGCCATTCCACATTAAGCTGCCCTAATAAACTGCCTTTTACTGACCAACTGTGCTTCTCCGACACTCAGACAGCGTCCCACAGCCCCTCGCTGGCCTCCAGGGGGAAGCTCTCGGAGCAGGGGTTCTTTTATGTGTGTGTGTGTGTTTGTGTTTGTTTTTGGCTGCACTGGGTCTTCACTGCCACACATGGGCTTTCTCTAGTTGGGGTGAGCGGAGGCTCCTCTTCATTGTGATGCACAGGCTGCTTGTGATGATGACTTGTGTAGCAGAGAAGGGCTCTGGATGCACGGGCTTCAGTAGTTGTGGCTCATGGGCTTAATGGCTCTGTGGCATGTGGCATCTTCCTGGACCAGGGATCTGACCAGTGTCCCCTACATTGGCAGTCGGATTCTTAACCACTGAGCCACCAGGGAAGCCTGGAGCAGGGGTTCTTAACAGCCTGCAAGCTCCAGGTCTCTGCAACTCCCTGCAATTGTGAGCACAAGTGCAGCTTTTTCAGCAGAGAGCATATGAATGTGAACTGTTAAGATTCTCAAAGAATCTGTGACCCAGGAAAGCAAATTCCTTGTTTTGGAAAATAGAGGCCACATCTGGCTGAGGTCCAGAGAAGACCCAAGTCTTGATGCCCTCAGGGGCTGTGTTGGAACCGTGCGTCCTAATATCTCTAGAAATGAATCCAGGCCATCCCAGTTGCCTAAGACTGACCCATCCCATCGCCCACTGTATCCCAGCCCTGCTCTGTGGGAGGGGCCCACAGTCTGAGGGAAAAGGCTTTGGTGCTGTCCTGAGCCTCATTTCACGCTGAGCATCTGTGAAATGGGGATAATACCAACCCCACAGGGTTATTGTGAAGGTGAAATGAGATAGTGTGTAGAGTTCCTTGTGCGATCTCCAGGGGATCTTCCCAACCCACGGATCGAACCCAGGTCTTCTGCATTGCAGGCAGATTCTTTACCAGCTGAGCCACAAGGGAAGCCCAAGAATACTGGAGTGGGCAGCCTATCGCTTCTCCAGCACATCTTCCTGACCCAGGGATCGAACCAGGGTTTTCTGCATTGCAGGTGGATTCTTTACCAACTGAGCTATCAGGGAAGCCCTCCCAGGATTATTGTGAAGGTTAAATGAGATAGTGTGTGGAGTTCCTGGTGCGTAGCAGGTGCTCTGTTAGTCCCCCTGTCCTCCCCTTCCGTATCTGTATTAACTACTGTGGTAGCTGCCCCAAGCTACTTGCTTGGGCCAAGGAGCTCATGTTCTGGAGAAGCCAGGGCGGAAGGTGCTTAGGAAACCCAGAGATCAGCCTAAGGGGAGGCAGGCTGCAGTGCACACTTTGAGCAAGAGGATGCGAAGTCAGATCCGTATGGGGAACAGAGCGCCCTTGTGAAGGGAGCAGTCGGGGGTGGGGCTGCCATGAAGGATGGAGAGGACCCCTTAAGATGGGAATGTGGGGAGAGGATTCCTGGTTAGGGGTCTGCGTGAAGGGTTCCTGGTAGAGGGGTCCTCGTGAACAAAAGGCAGGAGGTGGCAAGGTCAGGGTATGTAAAAGCTGGGAGGAGACCTGTTCCATGGAAGGCCTGAGCAGGGACTGAGAGGAGATGGGCTGACAAGACAAGTTGAGGTGCAGACCTGCGTGAAGAGCCTCTGGGTTCCGTGAGCTGTGGCCGACTGCTCAGTGACTGTCTACACCATCAGGTCTGAGTGAGAAGTGGGTTGATGTGGCATCGTGGGCAGGAGGGCGGGCTGTGGGCAGAAGTCCAGGGTGCGGTCAGGGGATGGAGGGCAGGACTGGTTGAGGAGAAGGGCAGAGGGAGGTTTTGACTTTTGCCCCCACATTCTTGGCTTGGTGGACAAGGAGAATACATCAGAAAAGAATGGCTACCTTCTCTCTCCACAGTTACCTTCACCATTCACTCCAGGATTGAGGCTGAGCCCCAGAGAACAGTTAAGTCCTGGAGATGCTTGTGGTGGCTTTCACTTAGACCCATGGTGGTCTGAGGGGAGCTGGTTGCCCTGTTTGCCAGTTCAGAAGGGGTGTGGGGCCAGACCTGAGTGGAGGCTCAGCCTGATTCTGCACGAAGCGCTTTCGAAACCCGCGGTAGTCCTCCCAAGAGCCCAGGCGGTCCCAAAGGCACATACAGGTAAGCAAGGCCGGGCCTCATCGCTTCCAGTGCCAGCCTAGGACAGCGGCCTGGAAACAAGTGAAGTCAGTCAGTCGTGTCCGATTCTTTGGGGACCCATGAACTGTAGCCCGCCAGGCTCCTCTGCCCATGGGATTCTCCAGGCAAGAATACTGGAGTGGGTTGTCATTCCCTTCTCCAGGGGCTCTTCCTAACCCAAGGATTGAACCCAGGTCTCCCATACTGCAGGCGGGCTCTTTACCCTCTGAGCCACCAGAAGCGGCCTGGAAACCAGAGAAGCGCTCAGGTTACAGGGCTGTTGCGAGCCTGGGCGCAGATATGCCCAGCTACAGGTTCTGACTCCTCGCCCAGCCCACACTGCCTCCGGCCGGGGTCATCAGGCCGGGTGGACTGGGCCCGCGCCAAAGCCCTGCGCCCGTGAGCAGCGGGAGAGATTCCGGCCCTCTTCCCCCAGCCCCCACGCCCGCGACTCGTCCCCGGCCTTTTTCCAACCACCTTCTCCCGGGAGACACTGGAGGTATGGCCTGGCTCCAGTCGAACCTGTCCCGGTCCAGGGAACCTCTGGCCGGGACTCTGACCCGAACGCCACGGCCCAGACCCGGACCAATCGGATGAGCAGGCGGGAGCCGGCCCAGGCTCGGGCGGGAGCCGGCAATGGGCGGAACCCAAGGGCTCTCGGCCGTACTGATTGGCCGCGGCCGCAGAGCTGTCTCTCTAGGATTGAGCCTTTTCCTCTCGGGGGGGCGGGACCGCGAGCCGCTTTCACCAATAGTGTGCCGAGAATCCGCCTCCCACAGGGACACTTCCGGCCATGTTCCTCGAGCCTTGCCGTCCGAGCAGCGGCTCCGGACGCCCGGCCCCGGCTTTCTCGAATCACTTCCGGGTGATACTCTAAGACAACGAGCCGCGATTGGGCGACCGTGGAAGGGGCACTTCCGGTGCCCAGGCCCTTGGGTTCTTTGGAGCAGGAAGATGGCGCCCCGCGCGGCCCGTGTGTGGTCCAGCTGGTGGCTGCTGTTGCTGCCCTTGCTTGGCCTGGCCGGCGCCAGCGGTCCTCGCACCTTGGTACTGCTGGACAACCTCAACCTCCGGGAGACGCATTCGCTTTTCTTCCGGAGCCTGAAGGGTGAGACTGGGGCCCGAGGGGGTGGTAGGGTCCCTGAGCTCCGAGACACCGACCCTTCTTCCTCCCACCCGAGCTGGCCTTCCAGGTCCGACCTGCCGCCAGGGGCCTGGTGGGGGGACGGGGGCAGGACGGTCACGGTCTCTGCAGTGGTGGTTTCTCTTTGCCTCCTATCTGCCTCAGCTCCCTCGTTCTCTTTTTCCAGATCGTGGCTTTGTACTCACATTCAAGACCGCAGATGATCCCAGCCTGTCCCTCATTAAGTACGGGGAGTTTCTCTATGACAATCTTATTATCTTCTCCCCTTCGGTAGAAGGTAAGAGCTGCTGGTCGCCCCCAGGACTGTGATTTATCAACTTTCTTCAGGATCTTGGGTATGTCCTGGGATGGAGTGGGTCGCCAATCCTGGGCGCGCTGCTCCCAGAGAAGAGGAAAAGGCTAACGCTCAGTTGGTAAAGAATCTGCTTGCAATGCAGGAGGCCCCGGTTCGATTCCTCGGTCAGGAAGATGTGCTGGAGAAGGGATAGACTACCCATTTCAGTATTCTTGGGCTTCCCTTGTGGCTGAGCTGGTAAAGAATCCACCTGCAATGCGGGAGACCTGGGTTGGGAAGATCCTCTGGAGAAGGGAAAGGCTACCCACTCCAGTATTCTGGCCTGGAGAATTCCATGGACTCTGTAGTCCGTGGAGTCGCAAAGAGTCAGACACGACTGAGTGACTTTCACTTCACCTCACCTCACACTCGGCTTAGGATATGTCCTTACCAGAAGACAGAGCTGAGGACTGTGCGATCAAGTGTTGTTGCAGACCTTAGAACTCCTGGCTCTGCTACTCTGAGAAGGGGTTTTCTCCCTTAAAGGGCCTGATAGGAAAGACAGACATTCCTTCACTCCCTGACTGGGTTTGCCTGTGTGAAATGAGAAAATGGCTGTGCTATAAGCATGATTTTCTGTAAAGGGGCATTGGTGGTAGTTGATCCTGAAAATTCAGATGGAGTCATAGTTAGACTGAAAAGACCCTTTAGTGATTACCTAGTCCAGACTATTTGAGGCTGGATGGATATGTCCAGGGCTTAGCAGAAGACTAGTTGTTGAGCCAAATGAACATCTTCACTAGATTTCCCAGTTGACATTGCTGTGACAGCTTACTGTTTTAGGAGGCAACTCCTCAAATAGGCTGCCACTGTACGACTCTCTTAAGAAGATCATGTATTAAACTGAACTTGTCTTCCACAGCTTGCTTTGTTTATTTGGGGCAAGGAGGAAAAGGGTTTCTGATACCCCCCAGGGCCTAAGAGAAGAGCTCTAATGCTTATTTTGCTTACAGGCATAGCCTTCGCATAATCAGGTCCTGAATTATTCAGTTGTTTCTTCTCCAGACTAAATAACCCCAGTTCCTTTGGCTGTTTCCCTTTTTGTTGTGCTTTTGAGCATCCTAGTCATTCTTTTCTTTAGTGGCTTCAGTTTATCTTTTTCTCAGAGGACACAAGTTGTCCCTGTCCGGGGTGAGTCAGGACTGCCATCTCCCTGTTCAGCTTATGAAGCTTAGGAAGGCTGTCACTTCACTGGCATCGACTTTCTTCTCTTTGGTTCATGTGAGATTGGGATCTGCAAAGCCCCTGATGCATTTTCCCCTAGGTTCACAGTACTTGGCAAGGTGCTCCCAACTCTCCTGTAACATGTGCCTTTGGAATTAGCTTTTCAGAGGCAAGTTCAGTTGTGCATTAAAATCTTCAAGTTGGCTAGGCAGGCAAATGATGCCTTTAGCAGGTTAAATGGTCTTTGCTGGATTGCAGCTATGTTGGAACTCTGAAAGCAGTACTGAATAGTGACAGAGGCTACCCTTCAGGAGTCTTTCAACCTATCTGTGAGGAAATATAAATAAGGACTTGAAATGAGTTACCAGACCACATGTTAGGATGTCCCAGATGGAGTGGAGGGACTGTCTGAGTTGTGCTTTGAAGGGTCACTGAGAGGGAGGGAAGTGGTAGAGGTGGGCTGAGGAGGCTGAGGTAGGCTGCTGTTAGTGGGAGAAGGGGCAGAGCCCAAGATACTGCTTCAGAAATCAGAGTCATTGCCGTCCCCACTTCGTGATCTTTACCACTTTCCATATTTGTGCCAGTAATGTTTTTCTTCAAATTGACCTGCTTTAAAAAAAAAAAAGCATAACCTAGTTTAAAAGAAAACTAGTAATGAACCCATTGTCACCACTGAAAATGGAAAGCCAGTACTGTACCATCATTTGCTTTCTGAAGAGGAAAATATAACAGTGAACGCAGCGCTGTCAAGTTCTAGCTGATTCTTGGCCTGCTGAAGGCTTTGGACTTGAGGCATCCTCTGAAAAGAGATGAGCTGGTTGAGAGAGGTGTTAAGGCTAGTGTTGAACTGTGCCCATTCTCTGATGGAGGAAGCAGGGAAACGAAATGGAATAGTGTCTCTGAGATTCAGTGTTATTTGAAGCCCTGCCCGGCATCTCTGTGGTGAACTTTTCTGCCTCTTGCGGGGTGGGGACCATTCTTGTAAGAAACCCTCTCAGACACCCCTAGGGAGAAGGCTAGCATGTTCTGGAGGTCAGGGGTGTTCAGGATAAGTGGTGGTCCCCACTCTGAGGGCCCTTCTGCGGTACTGTGACCACTAGGCCCTCTCAGGTATGAGGACACAGGCCTGGCTTCCTCCTCCACGTATCGGCGGGTTCCTTGTTCTTCTGGGATCTGGAAGCCCTGAAGGCATGTGCAGTAATGGCTCCAGGAGAAGGATCCTTACCGTGTCCTCTGTGCCTGGGAAACACTGGGTCCTTGTTTTATAGATGGGGAAGTGGGCTCAGAAAGGTGAAGGGGTTGCCTGAATTTGTTGTTCTTCAGTCACTCAGGCATGTCTGACTCTCTCTGACCCCATGGCCTGTAGCACACCAGGCTTCCCTGTCCATCGCCACCTCCCGGAGTTTACTTAAACTCATGTCCATCAAGTCAGTGATGGACATGATGGCAGAGGAGTCGTCCCCTTCTCCTCTGCCTTCAGTCTTTCCCAGCGTCAGGGCCTTTTCCAGTGAGTTGGCTTTTCACATCAGGTGGCCACAAGTATTGGAGCTTCAACTTCAGCATCAGTCCTTCTGATGAATATTCAGGATTGATTTAAGATTGACTGGTTTGATCTCCTTGCAGTCCAAGGGACTCTCAAGAGTTTTCTCCAACACCACAGGTCAAAAACATCAATTCTTTGGCGCCCAGCCTTCTTTATGGTCCAACTCTCAGATCTGTACATGACTAATGGAAAAACCATAGCTTTGACTAGACGGACCTTTGTTGACGAAGTGATGTCTCTGCTTTTTAACATGCTGTCTAGGTTTGTCATACCTTTTCTTCCAAGGTGAAAGCGTCTTTTAATTGCAGGGCAGCAGTTACCATCTGCAGTGGTTTTGGAGCCCCCCAAAATAAAGTCTGTCACTATTTCCATTGTTTCCCCATCTATCTGCCATGAAGTGATGGCACCAGATGCCACAATCAAGAGTTTTTTGAATGTTGACTTTTAAGCCAACTTCTTCACTCTCCTCTTTCACTTTCATCAAGAGGCTCTTTAGTTCCTCTCGCGTTCTGCCATAACGGTGATGTCATCTGCATATCTGAGGTTATTGATATTTCTCCCAGCAGATTTGATTCCAGCTTGTGCTTCATCCAGCCTGACATTTCTCATGATATACTCTGCATAGAAGTTAAATAAGCAGAGTGACAGTATACACCTTGACGTAGTCCTTTCCTGATTTGGAACCAGTCTGTTGTTCCATGTTTGGATCTCACTTTTGCTTCTTGACCTGCATACAGATTTCTCAGGAGGCAGGTCAGGTGGTCTGGTATTCCCATCTCTTTAAGAGTTTTCTACAGTTTGTGGTGATCCACAGTCTTAGGCTTTCAATGAAACAGAGGTAGATATTTTTCTGGAATTTGCTTTTTCTGTTATCCAACAGATGTTGGCAATTTGATCTCTGGTTCCTCTGCCTTTTCTTAATCCAGCTTGAACATTTGGAAGGTCTCAGTTCGTGTACTGTTGAAGTCTAGCTTGGAGAATTCTGAGCATTACTTTGCTAGCATGTGAAATGAGTGCAATTGTGCAGTAGTTTGAGCATTCTTTGGCATTGCCTTTCTTTGGGATTGGAATGAAAAGTGACCTTCTCCAGTCCTGTGGCCACTGCTGAGTTTTCCAAATTTGCTGGCATATTGAGTGTGGCACTTTAACAGCATCGTCTTTTAGGATTTGAAATAACTCAACTGGAGTTCATCACCTCCACTAGCTTTGTTCATAGCGATGCTTCCTAAAGCCCACTTGACTTCACATTCCAGGATGTCTGGCTCTAGGTGAGTGATCACACATTCATGGTTATCTGAGTCATGAAGATCTTTTTTGTATAGTTTTTCCATGTATTCTAGCCACCTCTTTTTAATATCTTCTGCTTCTGTTAGGTCCATTTCTGGCCTTTATTGTGCCCATCTTTGCATGAAAATTCCCTTGTTGTCTCTTATTTTCTTGAAGAGATCTGTAGTCTCCATTCTATTGTTTTCTCTATTTCTTTGCATTGATCTCTGAGGAAGGCTTTCTTATCTCTCCTTGCTATTCTTTGGAACTCTGCATTCACATGGGTTTATCTTTCCTTTTCTCCTTGTACTTTGACTTATCTTCTTTCTCAGCTGTTTGTAAGGCCTCCTTAGACAACCATTTTGCCTTTTTGCATTTCTTTTTCTTGGAGATGGTTTTATCACCGCCTCCTGTACAGTGTTATGAACCTCCATCCATAGTTCTTCAGGCACTCTGTCTATTAGATCTAATCCCTTGAATCTATTTGTCACTTACACTGTATAAGTCTAAGGGATTTGCTTTAGGTCATATCTGAATGGTCTAGTGGTTTTCCCTACTTTGTTTAATTTAGCTCTGAATTTTGCAATAAGTAGTTCATGATCTGAGCCAGAGTCAGCTCCTGGTCTTGTTTTTGCTCACTGTGTAGAGCTTTTCCAACTTTGGCTGCAAAAAATATAAATTAGTCTGATTTCGGTATTGACCATCTGGTGATATCCATATGTAGCGTTGTCTCGTGTTATTGGAAGAGGGTATTTGCTCTGACTACTGCATTCTTTTGGGAAAACTGTGTTAGCCTTTTCCCTGCTTCATTTTGTACTCCACGGCCAAACTTGCCTGTTACTCCAAGTATCTCTTGACTTCCTACTTTTGCATTCAGTCCCCTATAATGAAAAGGATATCTTTTTTTGGTTTTAGTTCTAGAAGGTCTTGTAGGTCTTCATAGAATTGTTCAGCTTCTTTGGTATTAGTGGTTGGGGTATAGACTTGAATTACCGTGATATTGAATGGTTTGCCTTGGAAGCTAACAGAGATCATTCTATCGTTTTTGAGTTTGTACCCTAGTACTGCATTTCAGACTCTTGTTGACTGTGAGGGCTACTAAGGGATTCTTGCCCACAGTCGTAGATACAGTGGTCATCTGAGTTAAATTCGCCCATTCCTGTCCATTTTAGTTCACTGATTCCTAAAATGTTGATGTTCATTCTTGTCATCCCCTGTTTGACCGCTTCCAATTTACCTTGATTCATGGACCTAACATTCCAGTTCCTATGCAGTATTGTTCTTTACAGCATCACACTTTCCTTTCACCACCAGACCCATCCACAACTGGGTATTGTTTCCACTTTGGCTCAGCCTCTTTATTCCTTCTGGAGCTATTTTGCCACTCTTCTCTAGTGGCATATTGGGCACCTACCGACCTGGGTAGGTCATCTTTCAGTGTCATATCTTTTTGCCTTTTCATGCTATTCACTGGGTTTTCAAGGCATGATGCCTGGAGTTAAGCCCTGGTATCTAAGTTTCATTCATACAGATGTGAGAGTTGAACTATAAAGAAAGCTGAGGACTGAAGAATTGATGCTTTTGAACTGTGGTGTTGGAGAAGACTCTTGAGAGAGTCCCTTGGACTGCAAGGAGATCCAACCAGTCCATTCTAAAGGAGATCAGTCCTGAATATTCATTGGAAGGACTGATGTTGAAGCTGAAACTCCAACACTTTGGCTACTTGATGTGAAGAGGTGATTCATTGTAAAAGACCCTGATGCTGGGAAATATTGAAGAAGGGGACGACAGAGGATGAGATGGTTAGACAGTATCACCAACTCAAGGGACATGGATTTGAGCAAACTCTGAGAGGTAGTGTGGGACAGAGGAGCCTGGTGGACTGCAGTCCACGGGGTCACACAGAGACTGAGCAACTCAGCACTTGAGCTGCAGCAGCCCCACTCAGTGCCAGTTCTGGATGCTATGGCCTCTCCTGACCCACTGACCAGAAAAGGGTACAGTCTTACAGTTACAGGTACTGAAAGTTCATGTGCCTTTTTGGTGCTCACTTTAAAACAGTGTATGAAGTGGTCCTGTTATGACTGTTAGACCTAAATCTGTAGGATTAACGGGAAAAAACTTCTGAGGTCGGGCAGAGGATTGCCCGTGTCACGGGACAGCATCATCCTGAGATTCAGGAGTGCTCCTTCTCAGACGGGCTCACTGGAGGTGAGGTTGATGGACTCTAGAGAACTGCCAGGGGTCCCAGGAGTGGCTCAAGTGAAGATGAAGGTACTGATGTGAAAGGTACAGGTGATAAGCTGCAAGTTGTTTCATGAAATGGGAGTGAAAAAAAGTGACATTTCTGGATGAATAGTTCATGTGTGACTTGAAATGTGTATGACTGACTTGACAGCTGTAATTGGCAGGTGTTTGAGTGTTTCATTTGTACTTCTAAAGGTTTATGAATTTGGGCCATTATTCTTGGATCTTCACACTGAGCAACTGGGAACATCGTCCTATGTCAGGACATGTGTGGTAGAGGCCCCTCTTGCTTTGGGCCTCCAGAGGGTGCTATTCTCTAATCGGTCATGCCTGGTCTCTGGCAGCTCAGCTGGTTAAGAACCTGCTTGCCAGTGTTCGATCCCTGGGTCAGGAAGATCCCCTGGAGGAGGACATGGCAACCCACTCCAGTATTCCTGCCTGGAGAATCCCATGGACAGGGGAGCCTGGCGGGCTATAGTCCACGGGGTCACAAAGAGTCAGACACGAGTGAAGCAACTTAGCACAGTCTGCGGGTCACCCTCCCCAGCCAGATGTCAGAGAAGCAGTGAGAGGAACCTTCTGGGTCCTGAGTCTGGTGCTTCTTTCAGATTTTGGAGGAAATATCAACGTGGAGACCATCAGTACCTTTATCGACGGTGGAGGCAGTGTCCTGGTAGCTGCCAGCTCAGACATCGGTAAGTCTGACCCGGGAGGTTGTGGTGTTTCCCACCATTTCTCCCGGGAGCTGAGAGCTTTACACGTGGAGGCTGCCAAAGGGGCATTCGTGGTGGGGCGGTGGGGGGGGCCCCGCCAGGGAGGGAGGGGACTGCAGCGCCCTTCAGTCCTCCTGCACTCCCGTGACCACAGCCAGGGAGGTGAGAAGCAGGTCCTGTTTTAAGAGCTGGGACCCCAGTTTCTCTTTTCCTTCGTTTTGCTTTTTCCTTTTGTTTCTCTTGTTTTTTTGGCGGCTCTTACGAAAAGAAGGCAAGAGGGAAGATTTAACAGATTTTTGTTTCCTAGTTTGGACATTTTCAAACATACTTACAAGCAGGGAGAGGGGAGTAGGACCCCGAGCCCCACGTACTTAACCACCAGCCGCGCCAGTGAGCACCCCCGGCAACTCTTGTTTCCTTTCCTCCAGTGTGGGTAGGTTTTTAAAACCGTGTTGGGTGGGGCTCTTGGTCATGTGATGATGAAGAGGAGAGAAACCTTGTTAGCCCCGCTCATCCAGATGACGTTTGCCCGAGGTATTTACTTTGCTTCAAAGCAAGTTTTTGTGCAGAACCAAGATCACTGTGTACTTGAGGTGAGGGGCCAGGTGGTGGTGGTTTATTAGTTCAGATTCTGACTCCCGCAGGCAGAACGCCATGCTGTTGCCCAGGGGTCGTGGGGCTGCGCCCGGCTTGGTGAGGCTTCAGGGTCTGGGGGTGACTGGTAGAGTGGGTTGTGAGGATGCCGGCAGGAGGGACACTGCTCGCCCCAGGGCCCTGGCTTCAGGGCCCAGTCAGGCATCTGTCAGGTTTTTGCAGGTGACCCTCTCCGAGAGCTGGGCAGTGAGTGTGGGATTGAGTTTGACGAGGAGAAAACAGCTGTCATCGACCATCACAACTATGACGTCTCAGACCTTGGCCAGGTAACCAGCTCAGCCTCGAAACCAGGAGGGGGTTGGGAGGCGCCCTCCCCCCCGCCTGGGGAACCTTCTCCTGATTTCATATTCCTCTGCTCGGGCAGCACACGCTCATTGTGGCCGACACGGAGAACTTGCTGAAGGCCCCCACCATCGTTGGGAAATCATCTCTGAATCCCATCCTCTTTCGGGGTGTGGGGTGAGTGAGCAGGAGGGGCCGGCAGAAGCCTGGGGAAAGAAGGAGTCGCTTTTGTCTGGAGGTTTTCCTTCCCTTGGGGTACATGGGTGAGATTAAATGTCAGACTCCATCATCACAGCACGAGGAGAGCTCGGGGTTTGGCTTTTAGGAAGTGTGATGAACTCCTGTGAAGAAATGGCTCCTGGGGGACCCTGGTCCTTTGGGGTCAGAGTTGGGCGATTTTCCTTTCCTTCTCCAGGATGGTGGCCGACCCTGACAATCCTTTGGTGCTGGACATCCTGACGGGTTCTTCCACCTCTTACTCCTTCTTCCCAGATAAACCCATCACCCAGGTGAGGGTCTCTGCAGCCTGAGGCCTCCGGCTCCTGGGCCTGGGGCAGCACTTTTTATCTCAAAGTGAGCAGCAAGCAGGAGAGCCCCCTTGGCAGTGGAATGAGAAATGGGTGGGCGGGGGTGAGGGCACCAGGAGGGTGGGTCTCAGCCCTCCTGGCCGACGGCCTCTTGTTGCTCCAGTACCCGCACGCCGTGGGGAAGAACACCCTTCTCATCGCGGGGCTGCAGGCCCGGAACAACGCCCGGGTCATCTTCAGCGGCTCCCTTGACTTCTTCAGCGACGCCTTCTTCAATTCGGCGGTGCAGAAGGCCACACCTGGCTCCCAGAGGTAGATGTGGGAGACTGGGGGCACCGAGGGTGGGTCTGTGCCACGGGGGAGGAAGGAGCCTTTTCCCTAAAAGTGTTGGAGGTGGAGTATCTGCAGATGCTTTTTTGAAGACTGTCACTATATTGCTGCTGTTGGCAACCTAGACTGTTCATAGTAGTGATGACCTATCTGGAGATGAAGTGGTGCTGGTTCAGTCACTAAGTCGTGTCTGACTCTGCAGCTCCGTGGACTGAGCACACCAGGCTTCCCTGTCCTTCACCATCTCCTGGAGTTTGTTCAAACTCCTGTCACTCATGTTTTGGTAGTTGTGCACTTATTGTGTAGGTGACACCCAGAGCAGCGTATCACGCCTGTCGTCCTTTCCTGTGTTCCCCTCAAGCAGGACCCCTAGACATGTGTGGCCTCTAGGCAGAGCCTGGCTGGGTGTGGTCTATCTGGTGTGTGGTGACTGGTTTACCAGGCACCGCTGGAGGGAAGTTGGTCCCCGGCTGCAGCCTCCCCGTTTCCCCTTCTGCAGGTACTCCCAGACCGGCAACTATGAGCTGGCTGTGGCCCTCTCCCGCTGGGTGTTCAAGGAGGAGGGGGTCCTCCGGGTGGGGCCAGTGTCCCATCATCGGGTGGGCGAGACAGCACCACCCAACGCCTACACTGTCACTGACCTAGTGGTAAGAGCTTGGCGCTGGAGGGCCCCTGGGTTTGGGCCAAGTTGATTCCACTCAAAAGCACGCAGCACTTCTGTGCTGGGTCTGAAGCGCCTAAACAAGGCTGAATAAGTTCATCTTCACCCTAAGAAGTCAGCTTGGGTGCAGAGAGCCTGGTGTATAAACTCACCCTAACAGGCGGCCTTCTGTGGAGGAGGTGTGCTTTTGCTGTGGGAACGCAGTGGGGAGGGCTTTGCTGGTTTACTCCGCTGGGAGCAGAATTCACATTGAGGGGGGTCTGGAGAATCAGTCAGGAGAGGCTCGCGTGACGACTGTGGAAGCAGGGCCGCTCAGGCGTGCCGGCGCGTTCAGGGAGACACTGTTTGGTGTGGGCTCCCACGGGCAGGTCGGGGCTGGGCCAGCTGGGTGCGTCCTCCACTGTCCGGGGCTGGGGGGACCTGCCCGAGCCGTCAGACTCCTGGGGCGCTCCTGCCCGAGACGCGGCGGGGACTCGGTGCAGCAGAACCTGCCCGTCCGCGGCCACCGGGCTCACCCCGGCTGCTTGTCTCAGGAGTACAGTATCGTCATTGAGCAGCTCTCGGACGGCAAGTGGGTCCCCTTTGATGGCGATGACATTCAGCTGGAGTTTGTCCGCATCGATCCTTTTGTGCGGACCTTCTTGAAGAGGAAAGGTGAGCGCAGCTCTTGGAAGAGACAGCTCTGGAAGCCCATCCCTGCCTCGGGCTGCCTGGGAAGCCCCTCCTGGTTATGGGTCTTGGCTCTTCCCCAGGTGGCAAATACAGCGTCCAGTTCAAGTTGCCTGACGTGTATGGTGTGTTCCAGTTCAAAGTGGATTACAACCGGCTAGGCTACACACACCTATACTCCTCCACGCAGGTAAGCTGGCCGCGCCCTGCCCGCCCTGCCGCCCGCCGCGCGGCCGGGGCCCAGCACCGCTGCCCTCCGCAGGTGTCCGTGCGGCCGCTGCAGCACACGCAGTACGAGCGCTTCATCCCCTCGGCCTACCCCTACTACGCCAGCGCCTTCTCCATGATGCTCGGCCTCTTCATCTTCAGCGTCGTCTTCCTGCACATGAAGGAGAAGGAGAAGTCCGACTGAGGGGCTGGCGCCCTGCACTCCTGGGAACAGGCGGAGGGTTTCCATAGGATTGGTTTTCTTCCTCCTTTATGGCGGGTTTTTTTTTGTTTTTTTTAAAAGCCACGGACAATGGTACAGCTTTACCTCAGTGGGAGATGGAACATTGAATACCAAGGGGTGGAGGGTTAGGGAATAATTTGTTTTTCCACCTTGAACGCTAAGTGTATTTTTTCATATGTGACGTCAACTCTCATTTCTAAAATAAAGAGAAACATGGCCCTCACATTTCATCTGGCCCCTGTTGTACTTTGCTGATGGAGGGGTGCTGTTGCGAAATGACCGGGTAGAAAGTAGTACGTGGCCCTTTTTAGTTTTGTTGGTCTGGAAATTACAGAGCTGCTGAATGTCAAGGGGAGAAAAATAAGGTTAATAAAGGCCAGTGGGGACATCACAGAGATGGGAAAGCTAGGGTAACAGCACTTGACTTTAATAGAATTATAGAACTGCTTGGCTGAAAAGAGCCTTACATCGAATTCACCTTGCTTTATGCACTAGTTGTGTTTCTAAAAAGCACACGTAAAGTTGTATGATCCATCTCCACTATGATTGTCTTTAGAGTGTAAGCCAAGTATTCAGTTTGAGGCACTTACATATTTTTTAGTTGTCAGTATACGTTTAATTCGTCCCAACTCCTGTAAGAAACGCTAGGCAGAAGGGACAGTCGGCAAGTTCAGAACACTGCACTGTTAATCTCCGTTTCATTAGTCACCGGCACTCTGCTGGACTCAATTCAGCGGCTGCGCGAGCTCCGCGGCGATGCTTGTCACCAGCACCCAGGGCTGCTCCGGGACACGTGACTGACTGCAGCGGCCCCCCCGCCTCGGGCCTCGCTCACGCGCTGTTCACTCTGACACCCCACTGTCCTGACCTGCGTGAACTCTGGCCCCAGCACAGGTCTGACCTTCCTCGGCTCAGCCTCACCTAACAGACCTGCTCAGCCACTGACTTTTCAGAGGTCTAGGAAGGCAGGACTCTGGTCAGCGGTTTACCCCGGGGCAGCCTCTCCCCTGGGACAGAGCTCATCCTTGGGAATCTGTGTGCCCAGGGCTGGTCACGTGGTCAGCGCTGATGCACAAAGGAGCCTGGTGATTGGGTAGCATTTCTCTTGAGGGTTAGGCCTTTTGCGGTCATCTAGACGAGGGGCTGGCAGACTTGGTCTGTGGGCCAGTCTGGCTTGCTGCCTGATTTTTGCAGGCCTGCAAGCTAAAAATGGTTTTTACCTTTTAAGTGGTTGAAAAAATTAAGAATGTTTAGTGACACATGAAATTCCAAATCTCAGGGTCCCTAAGTGAAGCTGAACTTGTTCACACATTGAAGGCTGCCTTTGCACCACGATGGCAGAGCTGAGTAGCTGGGACAGCCTGAGCACTGGCCCTTGACAGAAAAAGTTTGCTGACCTCTATCAAGAGCAGCGTCTTCATTTCACAGGTAAGAGAACTTGGACAATGCATCAGAATCTCACAGCTAGACAAAATCACACAGCTAGAACGCGTTAGCGGCCAGAGCGCGACCTGGAGCTGCTCCTTCCATCTGCCAGACCCGAGGCCTTCTCTTCACTGACTTGCCCTCCCCGTGCCATCTTTGCTTCTGACTCCCCCGTCCCCTCACCCAGGAGGCACTCGCTCAGCATTCACAGACCATCACAACACAGATACTGGAAACTTCTTTTAGTAATTCACCAGCTACAGCAGCTGTCTCGGGGCCGCCCTCCAGGAGTCGAGGAGGAGGGCCGCCTGGCTCAGCGCTTCATACTCCAGGTTGGCCAGAAATAGCATCTTCATTTTTGTTTCCACACAGTTCTCCGTCAGCCTGTTGGCCAGCAGAGTGGCAGCCGACTGCTGGAGGAGCCAGCTGATCATCTTGTCTAGTTTCAGGTTCTTCGGGGCGAGCGTGTGTTCACCCCAGAGGCTTAAATGAAGCACGTTAGCAGCTACTCGGGCTGATGGCCTCTGTAACAGGAAGGGGAGCCGGAGCTTAGAACACCTCTGATAGTCTTCACCCACAGCCTGCTTTGTTAGTGCAGCCTGTTTCAGGGTCTTCCCTTCTCTGGCCCTGAGCATGTTCTTCACCCTTCTCTCCTGCAGTACCCTGCACACACACTGGCCGATTCTACCCACGCCCCAGGCTTTCCCATGGGTACAAGATTTGGGGTGGGGGAGGGGGAGGGGGAGGGGACATTGTTGGAATAGCCTCCCCATCCTGGGCCTTTTTTTTGATTAAGATTTTTTTGCTATGCAGCATGGCATATGTGATCTTAATTCCCCACCCAGGGATCGAACCTGTGTCCCCTGCACTGGAATCTTGGGAGGCCAGCACTGGACTGTCAGGGAGGTTCCTCCTGGGCCTTTGGAAGGCCCAGGAGCTGTGTCTGGGGTGAGGGGAGCTGTCCTAACTTCATGACGGCAGTGCATACTAGTGGCAGCCTGCTGCACACGGTGAGGGGCAAGTGGTGGGGTGGGTTTGAGCCCTGGTCTGTCCATCCTTTTCCACTCCACATGCCACCCGCGCTGGCCCTGCCACTCCTATTAAGGTTTCAAATATGTTAGCCTTTGGAGTAATTTCAAAATGTCCAGATCCCTTAGGAGAGTTCATCCTACCTGTCTGGTTAGATCTCAGCTGATTCTGCATCTTCATTAAACATGTCTTAAAACTGCATCTCTTTCCCTCTGAGTTCCTTTAAGCAGCTAAAGCCAAGAGGAGCTGACTGCTAGAACCCTGACTCTGAACTCGGTGGCCAGCTCCCCCGCTCCTATCTGTATTCCAGCCTGTTGTGTGTTCTGTCCATGGCCATCGCCTCTGTAAGACAGAGGAGCCACTTTTCACTCCAGTGCCTGCCCAGCCTTGCCCTTTACTCTGGGACACGGCGTGAGGTTCCCATCCACAAGCCCCCTGTAAGTCTGCCCTGCCTTACCTTGTAGGCCTCCCGCTGCAGCAGCGACCTCACCAGGCACCTCACATCCCGCGGCACCTGCTCGGGCAATGCTGGCAGCTGATCCTCCTGGTAACTTCGGCTTTCAAGATGGGCCCTGCCCTGGCCGTAAAAGGGATTGGGGAGCCCGAAGATTTCGTAGGCGAGCGCGCCCACTGCCCAGGTGTCGGCCTTGCTGTAGTCGATCACTGCCCTGGGGCCGGGGCAGGCCGTGGACACCTGCTTGGAAAGCAACAAGTGAGCAACCACGCTGCTGGTACTTGAAACCTATTCGTGCTCCTGCACGGCACCCGATTTGCAGACTAGTCTGGATTCTGTCCCAAGGAACCCGGAATTGGAATGAACTGTAGCTCAGATACAAGAAATTGTGCTCAGGCTGCCTACTTCAGGCTGACAAAACTCATCTCTCCTGGGATGTCAGTTCTAGGCAAAGAGGCAGGGAAGGGACTTCTGATAAATTATGGGTCAGAAAAGATTGAAGTGTTGAGTAAAAGGGAAGAAACCTGGTGGGAGAGGCTCTGCTGGTGGCACATGACACGCTCAGTGGGACTCACCTCGGGAGCCATCAGGCAGCCATTTCCGCCACGGTCCACGTACCAGCTGGTGAAAGGCAACTGCAGGCCGACACGCTCATCAGCCAGGCAGCAGCCGAAGTCTGTGATCACCAACCAGGGGCAGCCGTCTGTGGAGAGAAGTGCAGAGGTGAGAGGCCGAGTCTCCTCCCCTCCCCGCACCTCGAGGCCCTCCTATACTTCCACTAAAACCACCCTCAGTTCATGCTGACCCAGGAACAAACTACTGCACAACTGCACTCACTTCACATGCTAGCAATGTAATGCTAAAATTCTCCAAGTGAGGCTTCAACAGTAAGTGAACTGAGAACTTCCAGATGTTCAAGCTGGATTTAGAAAAGGCAGAGGAACCAGAGATCAAATTGCCAACATCTGTTGGATCATAGAGAAAGCAAGAGGATTCCAGAAAAACACTGGCTTCTGCTTCATTGACTACACTAAAGCCTTCAACTGTGGGGATCACAACAAACTTTGGAAAATTCTTCAAGAGATGGGAATACCAGACTACCTTACCTGCCTCTTGAGAAACCTGTATGCAGGTCAAGAAGCAACAGTTAAAACCAGACATGGAACAACAGAGTGATTCAAAACTGGGAGAGGAGTACATCAAGGCTGTATATTGTCACTGTGCTTATTTAACTTATGTGCAGAGTATATCATGCAAAATGCCAAGCTGGATGAAGCACAAGCTGGAATCAAGACTGTTGGAAAAAACATCAATAACCTCAGATATGCACATGACACCACTGTTCTGGCAGAAAGCAAAGAAGAACTAAAGAGCCTCTTGATGAAAGTGAAAGAGGACAGTGAAAAAGTTGGCTTAAAACTCAACATTCAGAAAACTAAGATCATATGGCATCTAGTCACATCACTTCATACAAACAGATGTGGAAACAATGGAAACCGTGACAGGCTTTATTTTCTTGGGCTTCAAAATCATTGCAGATGTTGACTGAAGCCATGCAATTAAAAAGATGCTTGCTCCTTGGAAGAACAGCTATGACAAACCTAGACAGCATATTAAAAAGCAGAGATGTTACTTTGCCAACAAAGCTCTGTCTAGTCAAAGCTGTGGCTTTTCCAGTAGCCATGTATGGATGTGACAGTTGGACCATAAAGAGGGCTGAGTGCCAAAGAACTGATGCTTATGAACTGTGGTGTTGGAGAGGACTCATGAGAGTCCCTTGGACTGCAAGGAGATCCAACCAGTCCATCCTAAAGGAAATCAATCCTGAATACTCATTGGAAGGACTGATGTTGAAGCTGAAACTCCAATACTTTGGCCACCTGATGCAAAGAACTGACTCCTTGGAAAAGACCCTGATGCTGGGAAAGATTGAAAGCAGGGGAAGAAGGGGACAACAGAGGATGAGATGGTTGGATGGCATCACCGACTCGATGGACATGAGTTTGAGTAAACTCCTGGAGGTGGTGATGGACAGGGAGGCCTGGCGTGCTGCAGTCCATGGGGTCACAAAGAGCCGGACCTGACTGAGTGACTGAACAACAACAAAAGCCACTATCAGGATATGCTGACCCAGGAACACAGGCCAGTAAGGCCTGGACAGCTGCCCACTCGCCAGAGAGCTGAGTGGGACCAGCAACACAAATATGGACGTGCCTCCAGGAAATCAAGGTCCCCTAGCCAAGAACTGGACAAAATCAGTGCATTATCACTTAGTTATCTGGAAAAGGATTCATGCAGACTTCCTTTAAAAGCCAGT